ATTGTTGTGACTTAGATGATGATCAGATCACATTTTATGACCAATTTGTGCAGAAATTCCATATTCCAACGGGTTCACATACTTTTTCTTGCAACTGTAGTTCCTTCTCCATTTTAACATAAGGCAGTTTCTCTGGTTTTGCTAGGTTTAATATTCCTCTGTAGCTTATTGAAAGTCCTCTGTAGCTTATTGAAAGAGCTAGGGTCGTCTCCCCAAGCATAGCTTCCCAAATTCGTTCATCTTAGAATTTTCCACCTCTGGGCCCCTAAACTCCTGGGAAAAGGCAATTATTTATATTATGCAACCTTGCAAAGTTTAACTTATTATACAAAAGATTTAAATGTAACAACATGGAGAAATAAAGGGATAACAAAAACCCAACATCTAATTAAACAGGCATAAATATACATCAATTCCCAGATATACAAATTAAATACGATCTTCATAACCTCAGAATGAAACATATTGAATGAAACTTCAAGTGATAGAGAACTATTTCATTCAAATTAAGTTGCTATGGTGCCCAGCGTTCCTTTAATTAAGATGTGGCAAATCTAGCCACTTATAGACTTAAACCGTATATTTAAGCAACCTGTATGGTTCTGTTAATATTATGTGTATTGTGCAATGTATGCGGCATTCGTGTGTTACAGCACACGAATACCGCTAAGGTTAAGTCTGGTTATCCACGAACAGTGAATCACCACACTGTTCGTGGAATAAGCAAAGTACCGAATGGGAGACCACCCATAGCTGGTCGTGTGTCTCCCATTAAGTACTTTGCAACATTGTATCCCTGTTAATTGTGGTCGGTTGCGGGTGGCCGCCATTCGTGTACCAAACACGAGGCGACGGCCATCTTTGTTCGTGGAAAGCCAGCGGGGTTTTGTCGTCGAGTGCCTGGAACTAAAATTGCCTACTCAGCAACACAAGCCCCGCTGGACTTCCGAGCCGTTCGTGAGTTTGCCGTTTTCGGGACTTTCATTCCCTCAGTTCAGGCAATCGGTTAAACGAATTGGTCCTGAGAAGGGAAACTGAACCGCGTTCGGTTATTTGTGCTGGGATCTGAGCGCAAGTTCCCTTAACTGTACGCCCAGGTCCCAGCTATATAATAAATTGTTAAATAGCTGTCTAGCCCAAATATTATGTTGGTTATGCATTTTAATATAAAAAACTGTATTTCTCTGTACCAAGGGATAATCCCATTAGAAATGCATTCTGGGATAATTATCTCCTTGGTACAGCAATGTATGCTGGGTACTCTGGCTGTAAAACTCAGTCCCCCATGTGGTCCCCTACTGGACAAACCCTGCATTGTGACTTGGGAAACCCCATACAATTGTAACCACATAGATACTGTGCCTGTAATTAAAAACCTCAGTTGACCTCCAAGCTATGTGTCGTCTACTTCTTGGGAGGAAGAGATTGTAACTACGCTACCTGTATTTTGCCTGTTTTGTACCTGCTTCATCCTGTCTACCAGCGGAGATACCGTGGATAATACTACAACTCCGCTACATAAGATTTTTCAGATGTTTAGTAGATAACTCCATAATTTGCTATATTTATGTGGGATTAATATAAGAATACCAAATAAGGGATCTATCTGCTAAACAGTGCCCTAATTTGGCATTGTTAACTATGGCATTCCCACTTAACTCCCTGAACTGGTACTCTTATCAGCTAAACTAGTGAAAAATGAAAACGAAGAAGCCCTTTACTTGATCTTTAGGCTATTTAGTGGATAACTGCCTAATTTGCTATCATTACATGGGAATTTTAATTTTAGGAATATTAAATTAGAGAACTATTTAATAAACAGCTGAAAAGATCAACATTAAAAAACACTCTTAATTTTAACCTGATATCCTTATTGGAACAAATGGATCTGAAACTAATCAGTTTGATATGGATCCTTTTGTTTTCGTTTAGTTTCCGTCGATTCAGAAATCCAGACAATTCCGAATTGCTGAATCAGTCAAATCAGGCTGAAATGTAATTCAGAACAAAACAAATTGCACATGCGTAATTTTGATAGGCCAGGTATTGTTGTCTATATTACACATGATGGTTAGTATGCCAAATAAAAAAAAAAAAAAAATGCCCCAAAAAATGACCAGTACTTTTTAAACACTTGGCTACAAAGAGCTAAAAAAGCTAAATATAATGTATTGTGTAATTATTATTTATTTTGGTTTTAATCAGAATATGTGCATAGCAAAAAACATAGTCTCAATATGTGACTCTCAGACCACTTTGATCTAGTGAGTTGATAAATTAAAAAATGACCAGTACTCTTTAAACACTTGGATACAAAGAGCTATATATAATGTATTGTCTAATTATTATGTACCAGTAGAAGGCAAATTCACATCAATGGCTTTAATACTCAGATTCAGTGTGCACAATGAAAGAGATACTCTAAACACCATAACAGCTTTAGCTTAAAGGGATCCTTCAGTGCCCCCTTCCTTCCAAAAATCACTATCTAGTAGATATACCCTCATCGAAAACATTTAATGTATTATTCAATGAGGACATTTCTAAAAACAGTTTTATAGCTGTGCAATCACAGACTTCGTAATGCAACTCAATGAGAAGTCTTTGCTAGGCAGTGCTCTGAACACTTGCTGCCTTCTGAGTTTAGCTCCACTTTGCAAAGCAAACCATGAAGTTACAAGACCGGCTGTCTGGTAGAAAGACTAAAATATGCATTTTTTGCAAAATAAAAAAAAAGACACTTTGCAAATAAAGCCCTTCAGCAATCTAAAGTGTTTTAGGTCTTTGGAGTGTTTCTTTCATGAAGCAGCTTTGGAATATACATCATAGCGCAGTAGTTTCACTGCTCAGTTCTTTGCCATTTAGGAGATAAATCACGTTTGTTTTTGTTTATGCAGCACAAGCCACACCTTCCTGGCTGTGACTCACACATACTACATGAAAAGATTGTTTCATTTGCAATCATATCTTACAGCCTAGTATATTTACTTTAGAAGTTCTTATAGCCCGCACTCCCCAATTACATATGTTGTACATTATTTCTGCAAAAATAAATTGTATAGAACCAGTTTTCCCCGTGATGATAGCAGCAATTGTTGCAATTATAATTTTATTTTTCATTGCTGAGATGCTCAAAATACTGCTTAGACTAGAGGATACATAAATTATATTATCAAATACTATGATTAGTAGATTGTAATTACTGTATATACTCGAGTATAAGTCAAGTTTTTCAGCACATTTTTTGTGCTGAAAAACCCCCACGCGACCTCTACTCGAGTCACTGTCTGTATTATGGCAATCTACATTGCCATAATACAAACCAGGACCGCCGGTCTCATTACAAGCCCGGCGGTCCTGTTGGGGGCTGGCAGAGAGCTGTAACTTACCTTTCCTGCAGCTCCTGTCAGCTCCCTTCTCTCTTCTCCGGTCTGGTCAGCTCCCACTGTAAATCTCGCTAGAGCCGCGGTGAATGGTCCGCGCGGCCACGAAACTTACATTGGAGGAGAAGGGAGCTGACCGGACGAGAGAGAAGGGAGCTGACAGGAGCTGCAGGAAAGGTAAGTAACAGCTCTCTGCCAGCCCCCCTCCTCCCCCCACTGAACTGCCAATGCCACTGGACCACCAGGGAAGGAGAGCCCCCCTCCGTGGCCAGCTAACAAGCAGGGAGGGGGGACGAAAATAAATTTAAATAAAAAATTATAATATAATAAAAATATATTAATAATTATATATACAAAAATAGAAAAGTAGGAGCTGCACTCACAGTGAAACACATTCACTTTATCCTGAGGAAGGTCCCTGTGCGGACCGAAACGTCGTTTGTGACACATGGAATAAAACTTATTTTTCTACTTTGATACTAAGACCGTGAGTGCAGCTTCTACTTTTCTATTTTTGTATACACTATTAAATCCTTAACCCCTTAAGGACCAAACTTCTGGAATAAAAGGGAATCATGACATGTCACACATGTCATGTGTCCTTAAGGGGTTAAAGGAACTGGCACCCGGCAACTGCATTGTTTAAATTTTAGTGCAAGACTTTAAAAGCGTGAGTGCAAGGACATTGCTTATGTGAATAATTATATATATATATAAAAATAATTAAAAAATTAATAACCCACCTCCGCACCAAGGCTCCTCATCACATACACACACTGTAAATAAATATTCAATTAATATAATTTTTGGGGGATCTAATTTTATTTAGAAATTTACCAGTAGCTGCTGCATTTCCCACCCATAGTCTTATACTCGAGTCAATAAGTTTTCCCAGTTTTTTGGGGTAAAATTAGGGGTCTCGACTTATATTCGAGTATATATGGTAAGCAGAGGCGGCTCTCTAATTAGGCGGTTTAGTCGGCCGCCTAAGGCCTCGCGCTGTGTGGGGCCTTGCGGCCGCCTAAACCGCCATAGGGCAGACTGACATGTCGGGTCCTCGAGGACCCGACACAGGAGGGGGCCCGGCGGCTTGCCCTGTATGCTGCCGGGTCCGAGGCCCCTCCTGTCAGTCTGCCCGGGAGAGCCGGCCTCAGTCTACAGCTCCGCCGGGTGTGAGCTGCAGACTGAGGTGTCTCGCACTCTCCAGCCAATCAGAGCATTGCCGCGGGTTACCACGGCAACGCTCTGACTGGAGATCGCGAGACAATCCTCATGTGGTCTGCAGCTCTGCATCCGGCGGAGCTGCAGACCGGAAAGCCCACTGGACCACCAGGGAGTCTGCCACCACTGGACCACCAGGGAAAAAGGTACCTGCCACCCCCCCTCACCCTGCCACCCCATCTGTCACCCTGCCACCCCACCTGTCACCCTGCCACCCCATCTGTCACCCTGCCATCCCACCTGTCACCCTGCCACCCCATCTGTCACCC